TGGATGCGCCACCCAAATACGAGAAGCAGTGAAATTCTGCTGATTCCTGAACGTCTAGTTTTAGTACACGGTAATACCTAGTCTTGCATCATCATCATACAATACAAGTGGCAGGGGCAAGCGTTCACTTATTGAATGGATTCCGGTGAGTAGCCAACTTTGCGCTGTACGTATGCATGGTTCAGTCAAGAGCTACAGAACGAAGCGTCGATGTTTATTCGTCGTATCCGTGTGTGCACCGACCGATAGCAATTCGCCAGGAATGAAGGATGAATTAAACAAAGATCTCTCTCAACTGCTCCAAAGTGCTCGGCCAACGTGGCAGTAGCTGGAGACTTCAATGCTCAAGTGGGACTCATGGCCGAACCAGAAAGGATTCTTGGTGGTTCACAAGCAATTCCAGCCAACCGCGCGGAAAACGATAAATGCCGACTCGAGCTTTGCGCTGACCACAGACTGCTTCTGACAAGCACAATCTTTTCGCACAAGAAACGACACCGCCAAACTCTTAACAGCGCTGGACTCAAATCGACCACCACCATCAGCCATCGCTGGCGAGGATCCTACTGGTCAACACCCGTATATACGGACTATGCTCCGCTGTAGCAACCTTTTCGAGTAATTAAGAGTACAGGTCCAGGGAAAGTAGGCATGAGATAATTAAGGAGTCTGATGGCACACTGATTCATACACCATCTAGATCGATCGGCCAAACTCTGGAGCACCGACATTCTTTTCGTAGACCCACCATCTCTGTCTTTCTCGACCTGAAAGCGATTTCCGACTCGATCGACCGCTCTAAACTTTGATGCTGCCTTTCCCTGAAGGGTGTGCCCGAGAAGTTTATTTCAATATTACAATCGCTCTATACTAATAACCGACGTCGAGTCCGAGCTAACGGCACTTTTTCACCACGGAAAGTGGTGTTCGACAGAGTTGTCCTCTCCGTTTCTATTTAGCTTCGTGATAAAATCAATTCTTGAAACAGCCCTATTCTCGTGCGAGGATAGCGGTATCGATTTACTCTTAGGTGGCTGACTGTCTGATCTATAGTATGCAAACGACATTGCGCTACTAAGTGAAGATCCAGGTAAGTTGCAAGCTTTTCTGGATAGTTTTAGTGCTAATGTATCCATTTTCGGTATGCGTTTTGCACCTTCAAAGTGTAACATTTTGCTCCAAGATTGGGTTGGTCCAGCACCCAGCCTCACCCTGACTGGGGAAGTAGGCAAATTTTGTCATCTGAGCAGCTATGTCTCACCTGGTGGACGCATCACAGATGAAGTGTCAACGTGCATACAAAAGGCTCGGTTGGTATTTGCCAACTTGAGACATCTGTGGCGCCGTCGCGACATTTGGCTGTCTGTGAAGGGTCGAGTGTATGCTGCAGAAGTTGGACCAGTTCTGCTTTACAGTGCAGATACTCGGCGATTACTGGAACAGGATAAAAAAAGATTGGTGTTCGAACACCACAGTCTATGTCGGATCGGATAGGTCTGTTGGGGATAATGGACGAGCAATGCTGAGATTAGGCGCAGAGTTTTAGGTAATTGCGGTCGTCCACTGGAGCAAGAGGTTGAGCGCTCTAGATTACACTGGTTGGGATATGTGCTGCGCATGTCACCGAATAGGTTGCCACGACGAGTGATGTTTTCCAAGGCAGGTAGTGGATGGGAAAAGGTTAAGGGCGATCAACCTAAAACCTGGAATGAGGGTATGAAAACCCTCACCAGGAGACTAGGTCACACAGGACCGTTGGGCTCCCTGGATGGGGACTATGAGATCATGGTAACCGGTTGTTAGAGACGCCGTGTCACAGATAATAACGCTGGTGCATCTACTCATTATTCTTGCAACCGCAGTCAATATGAATTCTTTCTTCTCTTTGACTCTGCTCTTGACATTCCAACAACATTCGCCGAGGAATGCACTGCTCGCCTAATCGGACCCCACTGCTCATCTACATCATCGCTTTGAAGCGCGCTTAGCTCACGCATTGGCTCTAAATCATAGCATGCACGAACTGCTGCAACGAACAGGCGATGATTAGCCAACTGAATTTGCCGGTTTTGTCACCGGCCAGTCAGTCGAAGAGTGAACTGCATAAAAAAGTAAGGCGTGGTCAGAGTCAAAGCAAGTGGTCCAATAGGACCTGCAATTTTGCACTGAGCCACACCAATCGGTAGCTTACTGCTACGTGATCGATTTGGGTTAGCGTACCAATCAAACCGGAGCGCCACGTTGCCATCTGTCGAGAGCTGTGTCAGAAGTTGGTGCTTAATAGGAACAGATGATGGTGTGCGCAGAATTGAAGAAGTCCATTGCATTTATCTGTTCGCTACTAGAGCAGAGCACAACTACCGTCTAGGCAAGCTTCGGATGCGCTCAGTTTTCTAACCTAGGCGTTAAAGTAACCTGTAAGCACAATTATGTCGGAGTTTCGACTAGAAAGAATGAGACCGATNCCGATGAGCTTATAGCACAAATCGTCCTTTTGTGTATCACAACTGCATCTGGCCGGTGAATATGCCGATATGATGAACACACAACTTTTGGTGTTGCTTCCTTTCTGAACGCTGATTGACTCCAGGAGACGCGGTGCACATAAACGACTGTTGACGGCGATCCAATCGATGAAAAAGAACTTTGCCCTGTTGATGAGTGCAATATCTACCATGCGCCGACCTACTGAACGGACTTCCTCATCGCCTGGTGTGCGAAGAACGTAGATCGAGGACAAATCTGGTGCGCTCAAGGGGCTTATAGTAGTAGGATCCTGAATTCGAGTCTTCGCGTAAAAATAGCAGTCAAAGTAATGCCATAGGCAGCCTATCAGTCGTAAGTTTGCTTTAGTAGGCCTATGCCACATTCGACTATAAATGGAGAGCAGAAATTGGCATGGAATTCTCCAAGACATGCTGTGTTAACAGTGAGAGCACGCTACTTCGATAAAATCTCAGCTATGTTCACAACTTCCCAAAACTCTAAAACAAGATTCAAAAAATAAAAACAGAAAACAAAATAAACATTTTAGATAAGAGTTGTTGGTTTCATTTTTCCTCAACTGCGCTTAGAAAAACCTTTAGAAGGAGTATGTTTCATGTGATGTTGAAAGGATCACAAGGGAGCAGTACGATAGTTCGTGTGACAGAGGACAAAAGATACAAAAAACAGAATTATACAGGTTCTGTTGGACTAACCGGAAAACCGGAAGAGAAAACAATTTCAAGTTAGAGTAAGAGATGAATTATCCCTTCAAAATCACGGTCAGCACTGCTGCATGAACGGCTTGTGAGGGAGATAAGCACAATGAAATACGAGCACGTAACTTGATGTTTGTGTGTGTGTGTGTGCGTGTGAGAGAGCGCATAGCGAACGAGAATGGACGATCTCAACAATCTGCTCATTACCAATGAAGTTGCGTCAACTATGACTGGCGGATGGCTGCAAGCCTGAATAAACAAAAATACACAAGAGTAGAGTAAGTCACAGTGTGATTTGAATGACCGAGGTACAAAAAAAAACAATTGATCAAACAATCACGCTAACTACTGAAATAGGAATGTAACCAGTGAGAAAAGATGTTCAACAACTAAAATTAAGAGAACCGGCATTGAAAGTTGTATAAAATAAAAGATCTGTTTCAAGGATTAATATTAATGCCTGGTGCGCCAACTGTCAGTTAGGAGTGCAAGTGAACAGTGTCTCCACGAAATTACTCTGTCTACGAATAACGAATCCAGCGGACCAATAGCAAATGGAAATGGGATAAGAACCCGATAAATGTACTGCAAAAAAACTGAGCTACTTAAAATACGGCATTACCAAAATATCCTTGAATAGGAAAATGAAGTACGACTGGTGGAACGTTTCATCCGATTTGCACAGCACATTATTCAGGGTTCGTCAGGCACTTTGGGTTGCAGGCAGTTTGTGATTATATCGTCTTTGCGTTTTGCAAAGATTGAACGTAAGCATCATGCGGTTTCCATCACTTAGACATTACCAAATTATTCACTATGAAACGCAGGGCGCAATCCAGTGATTCAATCATGCTCCAAATTACTCACAAATTAATCGTTCACCTGGTTAAGCGGAAACAGAACACACGCATTTTGTTCAGCACGGGAGATTCGGTGAACTGCGCAATCTCCGGTGTCACCTGTTCTATTATGACGGTCTACATAGCAGGAGGTGAATCGGCAAACCAAAATAAGCTGTAAAATTGGTGAGCAGAGCGATAGCGAATTTGCATACCACCTAGTTGTGATAATGATGTCGAGTTTTAGCCGCTGAACCCCACGGACTGGCGAAGACCACAGCTACCGTCAATATTCCATCTCGAAATGAACAAAAATACGTGCGGGTTTACAAATGATGTAAAACTAGCAATAGAAATGGAGGGTTTTCTGTCTTCGGTCGCATTACTTAGGATACAGAACATTTCAACTAATGGACTCTCACTATCAAACGTCACCTCAGGCAGAAAGTAAAAAAGACGCTCCAGCTAAGATATATATGAGACCAACACTTGGTAACGCATTTTGAGTATGTCGAGTAAACACCGTTTATTTTTTTGTAGATACTTTGTTAAGTCAGTAAATAGGGAAGGGACCAATGCCAATCGCGCCACAATTTTTAGTTGTATCTGATCAATAATGTTGAACATGTGAAATACTGATTGATTTAGGGTTTTTTATCGTCTATATTTTATGCTTAAACTGTTTTCATATCAAAATGCAATTGTCATATTTTGAGACAGAAAGGAAAATCAGTGCTTTAATTTCAGTTCTAAGGTAGCTGACATTTAACGTATCTGAAGTCGCAAAGTTGCAAATGTATTGTTTCAGCTCGCAATGGCAATCACAACTGGCTGATTTAGACAGCAAATCAATTAGCTCAGTTTACACAGTTATTAACCCTGCTAAATACCTCCTAAATGATAGAGATGAAAATATTGGGACCCAGATGGTAGCATGCAATGAATAAAGCAGAAGAGATTAATAGATATCTTGCCTGCGGCTCAGTCCTTCATCGTCCACCTTGGATCCTTCAGAAAGGGATGGGGCATTTGCAAGCCAATCAGAAATATCCAACTGTTGCTCCTCGGCAGCCTACAATCGGAAAGGTAATACATTTTATCTTTGACCACAGAGAGGTTAATTTTGTACGGTTACAAGATTCGTAACCTCTCTAATGTCCTGTTATCAAAAGTCCACAAGGTGTAGGCAGCATGTTTGCCAAAAAAAGGTTGGGTTTCCTATATCCTTTCTTTTATCAAGCCCGACAGTTGGTTGAGGGTGTTTGTACGGTTACACTGTAAACCTTCGGTTTTTCTGTTTTATCACCTGAACAGGTTTAATGCCTATCCACCATATAAATCCTTATTTAATTTGTGTACCTAGCGGTCAGCGGCGTTTGCTCCATTGTATTCCGCCTTAGGAAGTAACGAAACAGGAAATGATTCACCAGGCGTAGAAAGCTTGATAATCAGTGCACAAAAGAAAACAACTTTAGATATTTTCCCAATGCATAACGCGATGTAATATTTGTTGCCATCAGAAATATTACTTACTTTACTTTTAGACAACTTTCTTCTGAATGAGAACAGGTCGGCTTGATAGAGGAATTTGTCAATAGTCTTGGGAACGCAAGGCGCCTCCAGGAACAACTAGCCTTTTTCTTTGAGCATACGCCCCCGAACCTTTCATAACCAAGAGCTATCTTTAGGGTAACAGAATAATAGTGATGACCCTATTTGGTGGCAGGTAGATAGGCACACGTCAAGGTGCCAAGATCCACAAACAATGTTCGACGTCAAATGCACTTAGGATTTGATCCTATCTCTCATGGTTTCATCAAGCAGGAGGTGAGGACGATGAGTCAAACGAGGTTGAAATCTTTTGCGAAGAGTAAAACGCATCAACACTGGTGAACAGTCAGACTCAACGCGGAGGGTCTGATAGGACCTGCAATGCCTTTACTGAAGCAAGCCGACGGTAGTCTACTCTGATGTGGTCGATCTGGATGAGCTTACCCGTTAAACTGTAGTACCCTGTTGCCGTCCGTTGGGATGTGTCGGAAGTTGGTGGAAAACAGAACAATTGGTGATCCGTGCAGAACTGAAGTCCATTACCATTATCCGTTGGCTGGGAGGAGAGGGCAGGCTTCTGAAGCGTTCGATTTGTACTTGTGCCCAAATTTAATCCGAGACTTGTTTCCCATGAGAGCTGCTCAAGTGGTGAGGTTGAGAGCTTGACCAATTTAATTCTGTGAAAGCACTTGGCACTTTGAAGATTTTAATACACCCATTTCATGCACTAAAATAACTTGAAAAGCTTGCAACTAACTTGGACCTTAAATGGTAGTAAAATGTTACTCAAATACACCAAAGCGGACTAATTGCGGCTGGAAAGATATCAACGCAGCTATCCTCGAGCAGGGATAATACATGAACAGATCACCTTAGTTTGTGTGGGTTGATTGCTTGTGTTAGGTTTCGAATCTATAATATCCCACACCCAACTAAAGCATTGATGATTTACTCAATTCAACTGACGCGTGCAGTGTGGCGAAATTATTGTTCAAAAACTGAGCTGTTCTATGCATTTTGAGCGTAAATATCATGATTCGCATCCCATGAAGCAAAATCAGCAGAAGTCTCTTGGATATAGATTAAGTGCCATAGTTAGCCACATCAGTAAGTACTTACGATAATTCTAAGGTATGAAACGAGACTGTACCTTGACGTGGTGTGATGGCTTGCGTGCCTCCATGACCCTGCAAGCTACACAGGGTGACATTTCGCAGCCGCAGATTCAATGATGCCAGAAAGGTCAATGGCTAGAGGCCAGACAAAGCTCAGTCTCACAAAGCCAGCTGCTTCGGCACCTACTGGGTTCCATCTTCTATCCACACCCGTCCCTAGAGAGGCCAATCTAACAAATAAAAACGGCGAGGGGCAGTTTACCGGTCAAAATACCCCGCTAGATGGAAGAAGAGCGAGGTACCTGCGGCTTTCTCTCGACGGTGAGAGAAGTCTTCGCACTTTGTTGGACGGCTATCACCCACCCAAGCTGAGTAGCCCCCAACCAATAAGGTACTGTCCCGTATACGTTCCGCTTGTTTTATCTCGAGCTAATCCCGAACGGCGGACCGAGGATCAACGCACCAGCGAACAATACACTGAATGGCAACCCGCAGACCTTGCGTGACAGGTCTCTGAAAGCTTCCACACGGGTGCTTCGGTCACGCCCTCGCGTTGAATTCACGCCCCACCGCCTTGTGGGTCAAACTTTTGAGTCGAAGGCTCCGGTTGGGGTTCCCAAATAAAAGCCCCTCCGTCGGTGTGCGTTACCGCGAAGTATGTCATGCCACAAAGTTTTGGGCACTCATTTGGGAAGCCCTCTTTCTCATCCGTCCAGTTCTTCCTCTCACACCCAAATCTTAGGAGATGCCTCTTGTTAACGTCCATGGGATATCAGATGGTGTTCAAATAGTAAGATCAACCAACCAGAAGCAGATTCTTGAAACCAAAATCTCATTTTCACTTGGCTGCATTTAATGTCCACGCGCTTTGTCAAATCGGCCAACCGGCGGCACAAGCTAAGACCTTCGAAACTTTCAATTTAGATATAGGCTTTGTCTCAGAAACACGCATAAAAGACCATACTTCAATCATCCCCTTGCGATACCCAGATCGGACCTCATCCTCACAATCCACTCTTCGTACGTCAAGCGACTCGGCTTCCGAAGCTGGCGGTGTTGGGATTGCGCTGACTGTTAAGACCGAACGTTCACTTCTTGACTAGATTCCCGTTAATAGCTGAGCTGTACGTTTGGATGGTTCAGTAAGGGTCAACTACCACAGAATGAAGCTTGAATGCTTATTGGTCGTACCCGTATATGCATCAACCGATTGCAGTTGGCCAGAAATAAAGGATGAATTCTACAAGGCCCTCTCTCAACTGCTCCAAAGTGCTTGGTCAATGGACATCTCCCAGCTCAGTTTCAGTTTTTACAACCATTGACCATTTATTTTTGTGGGCCGGTTTTGGTTTGTCTTTTGGCTGCCCATTTGGATGAACAGTATGAGGACAGGAAAGTTGAAAGTAGAGTCTAAGAGAAAGTGGAGAAATTCAGTGGACGAAGATTGCAAAGAAATTATGATGCAGGAACGCCAACAGACATCATGGTAGTCGCTGGAGAATTATATACTCAAGTGAGATCCCTGCAAGAATCAGAAAAGCTTCTTGGCGTACACATGCAATCCCGGCTAACCGGACGGGCAACTAAGGACGCNAAATCAAAATTTGCACCGAGCACGGACTTTTCCTGTCAAGCACAATCTGCATGCACCAGAAACGACATCGCCTTCCATGGAAACCGCCAAACTCTTCACAGCGATGGGCTCAAATCGATCAAATCGCCATCAGCCATTGCTGGAGAGGATCCGTTGGTGACTGCCGCCCCCACTGATCAACACCGGTGGACACGGACCACGGACACAGAAGATAAGAGCCAAATTCTCACTGCGCCTGGTTAGCAGCCGCATAAAAGCCACCGGAAACGGATGCAAACAATCAAATGTAAGCGACAGTAGCAAATCGGCCTTGGAAGAGGAATATCCTGATCCCCTTTCAGCTCAATCATGAGTCAGACTCAGGAAACACTAACGGTAATCAAGGAAGCGATAAAAATCGCAATCAAAACAACGGCGGGTTCTAGCGAACAATCGAAGTAAAAACCATGGATCTCTTCGACCTCGGCTGCCCTGCTGGACGCTCGCAAAGCCATTCTTTGTGATGCAAAATATGATAGAGCGCGCAAGCCCCTTGAACGCCAGCTCATCAAGAGCTTTAGGAATGACCACAGGAAGTGATCGAAGGAAAAGTTCAAGGATATGGCGAGGGCTGCGGATATGGTAATAGTTGCAATATTTTCCGTTGAAATAGGAGCACAGGCCAAAAGAAAGTAGACTTAAGTGATGAATTCAGCGGCACGCTGATTCATACCCAGCAACGCCGTCTTGAACAATGGGCAGAACTGAAAACATTGTTTTCCCGTCACAAATTCGAACAGAGAAGTCAGAAACATGGGTTTGCACAATGTATCCATGGTCATTTCGCTGCATCTGTACACGCGTATACTGCAGTCAAAGTGATTTTTTATAGTCAGTGAGATAACAGATTTGAGACGAAGACAAGATCGCTAATCACAACGGACAACACAACACAAAAAGTGGACGGGAGGGCAGGGGGTCAATCACCAGGGTAGAGCTAACGTGACTAACCACTCACGTTGTTTGCATAGATCGGGTTTGAGAGTATGAATGGCTAGGGACACGGAAAATTCCAGTAACTTTGTGTTTGCCGTGTTGCAGATGACCTGGAATGCGTGGGGTGGAGTAACAGTGTTATTGTTCGAATAAGTGTTGCGTTATTGAAGATCTAAGATTTTCTGATTATTCGATGACGTAACAGTTGCAAACCTGTCGTCCATTGCTTTCTTAAACCACACCGTGATGTGTTCGGTCTTTCGGTGACATAACTGCTTCTCTGTCCTGACTATGCAGATGGCTGAGCATCCACACTGGAATTGGTAAATACAATTTGATTTGGCAGAGGGGGCAATGGTTCTTTCACCGATGTCGTTGGTATCCGGATGGTAATGAAGACAATGACTGGGTCAACTGCGTAATAGACCCGCTTGACGGTAGAGTTCAACCGCTTGCTAACGAGTTCACTCACGTCATCGCCTTTGTATACTAACTTCAAAAACGTTTTCTTCTTGGGGAGTTATTGGGTTGTCTACGTTTGGTGTTACTTTACTATGCTTGGTGATGAATGCGCCTGGATATCCGTTTGCTTGTAGTGCTTCTTTTAAGACGCCGCTTTTATCGTTTAAACAGTCCTCTGTGCATATTTCACGAGCTCGATGAAATAGTGTGCGAACGAGACCAATTGTGTATCTCATGGGAGCGAAGCTCGTGAAATGCAAGTATTGCCCAGACCACGTGTTCTTTCGGAAGACAGATTTTCTAATTGATCCATCTGGACGACGAGTAATATTTGTCTAAAAACTCGATGCGATTATCCCGTTCGTCGTGACGAATAAGCTGGATGTTGGGGTGAATTGTGTTGAGCCGATGGAATAGGTTCCCTCCGTCTTCCTTGACGTTGCTTATGACGAAGATGTCGTCAACATAGCGACAATATAGATCTAGTTTTGAAATGTCCTTAGGAATCGGTCCTAGTGGACTGCCCATGGCGACCCCATCTATTTGTGTATATCCTTGTCCGAGGAACGATAACTTAACGTTTGACGTGTAAAGGAGTAGAAGTCGCGATAGTTCACTGCTAGGCAATCCGATTTGCAAATTACTCTCCTCAGTTACCTGACAAATAATCCCGATGGTCTCATGTAGTGGAACTTTTGTGAATAGCGAGTTGACTTCTATTGTAAACATGTCTTTGTTGAATATTTCTATGGGTCAAATGTTTACACATCTTGAAGCTATTTTTGACATTACGCCGAGCGATTGACTCTCTCACCGGTACGAGAGCTTTATTTAACCCCTTTGCCAATGCATGTTGCGTTAAATTGATCAATCTTAGGATGGGTCGTAATGGAATGCCTTCCTTATGCACCTTCGGCAAGCCATACAACTATGGTGTCTGTGTTCTCCTCGGAAGTAAACATTTCGCCAGTGATTCTTATGGACCACCTACCGGGATACCGCTGATCAATTTTACCAGTTTCTGTTGTGAAGAAAGTCAGTCAAACACGCATGTATGAAATGAACAGATTGAGTAAGTAAGTAAGTAAGTCACTGAATCACAAATTGATGAACTCGTCCTTTCCAGAAAACCCCGAAAAATACGTGTACAATCTATCGTCATATCGGTTGAATCAACTGCAACTCGAAGCTTTATCATGTGGTCTAAATTATTGTATTCCGCCAAGAAGGAGCAATCATATTGAATCTCTCGTCCACTTTTTGTGTTGTGTTGTTCGTTGTGATTAGCGATCTTGTCTTCCTCTCAAATCTATTATCTCACTGACTATAAAAAAAATCACTTTGATTGCAGTATACGCGTGTACAGGTGCAGCGAAATGACCATGGATACATTGTGCAAACCCATGTTTCTGATTTCTCTGTTCAAATGGGCAGAACATTTTAAGCCACGGATGCGCTGACACCGCATCGACACAAAGCATATCTATCTGCGTCAACTAGACAAATGCTACCAGTAGACATCAGTTCTCCGTCTGAAACGAAAGTTACTCAGGAAATCAGTTGAGTCGAAAAGTGTAAGACATCCGACCCGAATGGACTGTCAGTCTCGGTTTTTAGTTCAGTGTGATTCAGTTTGTACAACCATTAACCATGCACCTTCGTGCGCCGGTTTTGGTTGCTGTCCCTTGGCTGTCCGTTCGGATGGTAAGCCTTGGTTTTGGAGTTGACGAAACTCCTGGGTTCAATATGGAGGGAGGAAAAAATTCCAGTTTTGTTCGGTCAATCCAGAACCTACAGCTGAGTGCGGAATGTTATGAATAACATACTCTGATGAACATGGCTCTAAAAATGGAAGCCGGTGGCGTGAGTTGTGTACAGCATTGCTGTGAATTATTGAGACAACCAAACAGTAAAAATTTAAAAAAAATATAACTTGGTGCAGCGGGAAGGAATCCCGCTATTTTCAATACCTATGACATTCGAATACTATTTCTTTCATTTTTATAAAGTGATGCTTCACATCGTTCAGCTCGCATCGGATGGGGGTCATCGTATACAGATACAGAGAAGCGAACTTTGTCGATCGACGCCATTGGAATCATGGGTGGCTATTTATACTACTCAGGATCAACTGGCTTGGAAGGCGGCTGGACTGAGCATTCTCATGACTTTACCGAATGCGTAAATAAAATTTGAAATAAAAAAGTAAATAACATTTGAGAAACTTCGCAGGATAATCCAAATCCCCAAAAGGCAAGTAATAATAGGTACCTTTTTCAACAATGCATTCACTTGATCTTCCGGTGTAGAGAGAGTCACGGCGTTGCCTATTGCATTCTCCATTGTTGCCGACTTAACATCCAGATCTTCGAACTGGGATTCGAATTTCGACATGATCCGCTCGATTTTAAGAAGATCCATTGATTTCATAGCTTTTTCTAAATCTTTGGAAACTGAACCAATATTTTTTACAGCCTTTGTGACAAGAATTAAATATTACTTTGTGCCACTTACTTCTTTCATATGTAGGGCACTTTGAACCCGGGAGCATATGGCATCAAAACGTGATGCCATTCTAAGGAAATTTACGGCTTCATTGTGTTTTCTAACTGAGTTTTCAGCATAAACTTTAGCAATATCCAAATGTTGCTCTGCAAGTGCCTAGAAAAAATAACCCCCCTGAAATGATCTACCTTCTGCAGCTTTGTCTTTTCCTTTTTGGATTCTTCTTCCATTTTGGAAGATAGCCTGGTCATTTGTTTCGCCGACATCTAGGAGATGAGCTAACATTTTTTTATCGTACTTTCAGTTGAAAAAGGGCATCGTTTAATTTATCCGTTGAACTCGCAAACATGGTGTTAAACTTAAGAAGCAATGAACTTCCTGCGCGGAATACTCTTAAAATACCTTGTCAAGGTCAGTTTAGCTGTCTTCAGTTCAGTTCAGTTCAGTTTGCACAGGACGGTGTGTGGCCCGGGCCAATCTTGCGTCCAGATTGATGTGTTGTTGGCTGTTCTTGTGGCTTCCAACACTGCGAGTCAAAAAAAAGTTGCTGGAGTACCTGGGTATCGATCCCAGCACCTCTCGCATGCTAAGCGAGCGCTCTACCATTTGAGCTAGTACCCCCTCTTCAGTTCAGTTCAGTTTGCACAGGACAGTAGTGGCCGAGACCAATCGTGCGTCCATACAGTTGTGTTGTCAGCTAGTCTCCTTGGCTTCCAACACTGCTCGTTGAAGGTTCGTTCTGCTTGTTTCTGAAAGGCAGAATATTTAGGTGCAGTATCTCATCCACC